TTTAAACGGAATGGAAGGTATGCTAACATCAATCTATAGAGGGATCCTTCAAAACCCAGCTTTTATGCATATCCTACTATTCTATTTTACTGCGCGCTTTGTCACTTAATAGCCCCATGAATGTACTCCTGAACCCTTAAAAACCATTAAATTATCTCTTCCATCTTCCATCAGGATCTTTCTTAACGCCCATATTTCAACTGGATATATCTTTTGCACCATTGATTTTAGTAACCACACTTTCACATTGCTTTCACGTTTCCCATACTCCTATTCTCATGTTATCACCGTACCCTGCAGATCTTCCAAACCTCAGAGACGGAAGTGGTGCGTCTTCAAATCGGCGTGTTTATGCACAACATGGTCAAATACCTGCTTAAACTGATCGGTCATGTAGGCACAAGCGAGATTTTCCTACACCAGTCTGAGGACGATTATAATCCTAATGAAGTTGTTAAGCCTCATGAGCCTGATTTTCTGGGGCAACAGAGAGAGCGTTATGAGCTTGATCGGCACCTCTCACCGCGCATTATGGCCTATTCAGCTCACGACACTGATGTGGCGCCATTGCTTGCGGCTCTTGGTGTTTATCCGGGTGGAACGCCCAGCTACGCCTCAGTTGTCCTTATTGAACTACTCGGCCCTATTTCACCTGGCAATATAACAAATTACAGGCTACGTGTTCTCTTTAAAAATGGCCCTAGTGACCACACGGGTACTATGCTTCAGTTTCCGGCCTGCAAAGACATATTACCTAGCCTCGGTTGCCGTTTGGATCTTGTCATACAGAGCATCAAACCATTCATACTCAATCCTAAGGTAAAGCTTCTTTAGCTTCGGTAGTATATTTATTTCCTCTCATTGTTCACCAGTAAATCTTGACTATAATGCAATTTTTCTTTGGTATATGATTTTTATAAATATTTTGTCTGAGATTTATTGCTCCAACTGCCTAGAATGATTAATTATGGCGATGCTATATTATTTTTAAGGTGTTTTAAGAGACTATGCAAAAGGAAGGATATTCGGATCAAATTGAATTCGGTCAGATGTTTATATCTTTATTTTTTACGACTTCTGCCATTCGAAGTCATAAGAGCCTATTTTTCGTATATCGTGAGAGTTTTGAGACTACCAGTAAATCAGTTATATGAAATGTATTCACCCCATTTCGTTTAAGGTGATGAAGGACTAGTAGTAGAATTTTCCCACGATGATATGAGTAGAGCTGACGATTCCATTGAATCCCACATAGTCTTCCTTTCCAAAAAGATATTCTCATCCATGGAAAACTGCAGTTGAAATTCACATCTGCCCTGTGACCCAAGGATATTCGTAGCAATGTAGCGTAGTGGTTAATGTGTCGAGAGTATAATCTGCACTGTGATTGTTCGGGTCCCACTGGGGGTGTTGATAAGACCTAGGCGAGGTTGAAAGTGCAGTCAATCCTCGATAAGAATACCTTTTGGAAATTCAATACTATGTGAAATTCAATGGAAACGTCATGTATACTCATATCATTGTGGAAAAATTCAACTACCATTCCTTAATCATTTAAAACGAAATAGGGTGAACACAACTCATATGACTTATTGGGAGTCTCAAAAACCTAATCAAAAATGATACTTTTTATTATTGATGATTGGAACGTCTTAGAGGAACGCATCTAGCCCGAAGTCCATTGTATGCATGCTGATTTCCACAGTCGGGCAGTTGACGTGATAGATTCCCAGACGTTTCGCTGGCATTGTCAGTGAGTTGCTATTCTTAGCAATACACTACAACTCGTTAAAAAGGCAAGAGAATCTGATCTTTTAACAAATTGTCTGCTAAAAAATCATGGTATCTTCCTTCTCCCCTAAGATAATCACCAATCCTTTATCATCGATCATCCTTTCACTATCACAATTAGTTACTTGCTTATTTAAATGTGATATGGTGTGATCTTTTGAGCGGCTTTCATGAGAACTCTCGACACTCAACACTGGCTCTCCCACCCTCACTCACTCCCCTTCACCCTTGTGCTGGGAATGTTGATCAGAGTATGCCATATTGTTACGCCGTCCTCCTTCACTAGGTCCTATCAGTCTCCATCTTGCACCATCTGTGCTTCTCAAGGCGTTATTTCCCACACTGCCTCTGGGTGACTAATTCGAGGCTAAAGTCTCTGAGTAAGTCTCATGAACAACGTCTATGGTAAAACAGGCCTGCTGTCAGTCAACTAGTTCTAGTCTCCTGTTTCTATACGTAATACCATGTCTATCACTTCCTATGTCCTAGTCTCTTGTGTGCTAACCCACAAATTGTGTACTTGTTTTGATTAGGCTCACTGAGAACTCCTCTTGGCTTCGGATTGTTCCTTTCTGGTGGCCTTGCGATTTATTTTCTTAGAATAAGGGATGTTACCTTGATCCAGTCGTCTTCTTTTTGCTGATCTTACTTTTGCCTGGTCTTCTACGAGTTTGTATAGGCAATATGCAAAGTTTTCGCTGATCCTGCATTCTGTAAGTCTCCTGTTCATTCGATTTCTCTCGGTCAGTATATCGATGGCCTCTCGGATCTTGCGTTTTCTCATTCTCACCATATGCAGCCAGCCTTTCTGTCGAATTCCAGTCGATTTCGTGCCCCGTTCGTGCAATGTGTTCCGCTATTTCGGATCTTTCCGTATCCATGTTCCTGCAGAGTCTTTGATGTTCCTTGATGCGTAGGCCGATTTTAGGCCACCCTATTCGTGCTACTTGAGGCGTTATTACCCATATCCTTCGTCTGGGTGACTAATTTGAGGTTAAATCCTGCTTCTATTCCTAATACCAAGTCTATCACTTCTTATGCCCTAGTCCCTTGTGTGTCTTACACAAATGTGGTTCAACATTGAACCTAATCACAGCAAGCAGTACCACATATTTGTGGGTTAGCAAACAAGAGTCTACGGCATAGGAAGTGATAGACTTGGTATTAGGGATAGAATCAGGATTTAACAGACGGATCATACAGAGCAAGAGGGAGACTGATAAGACCTAGGGAAGGACTGCGCAACAATATGGCATACTTTGATCAACATTCCCAGCACAAGGGTGAAGGGGGGTGAGAAAACCAGCGTGGAGTGTGGAAAGTTATCATGAAAGCCGCTCAAAAGAGCACACTATACCACATTTAAATAAGCAAGTAAGGAATTGTGATAGTGAAATGGTGATCGAGGAAATAGGATTGGTGATTACTCTAGGGTGGAAGTAGAGATACCACGATTGTTTAGAAGAAAATTGGTCAAAAGATCTGCTATAATTGTCTCTGACGGGTTGTTGTGTAGTGCTAAGAATGGCAAGACTCACTGACGATGCCAGTGAAACGTCTCGGAATGCACCACGTCCACTGCTGATTCTGGAAATTATCACGCATACAATGGACTCCGGACTAGGTGCGTTTCTGTAAGTCTACCTACTAATATGACTAAGTTGCGAAAACAAGGTTAAACAACCTCTATAAAACTAAAGGAGCCTGCGACCACACAAAAGGCCACACCACCTTGGTCTTCATATCTTGTGTGATGATTGTTTTTTCGAAAAAATATCATACAACTGTTAATTGAAGATTGGAAAGTATCACAGAGGTACTATTTCCTTGTTAAGCTTACTTCAATTTCGAGTAAAAGTGTTTGGCGGAGAGATCCGAAGACCAATCCCACCAAAAGGCTACTGCGTGGATTGGCTTTAGTGCAACTTTCTTTTTGGCGCTGTTTCTGAGACAATCATATTCAATCTAACGAGTCAATAAAACTGACCTGTTCATTCCTAAATGCGGTATTCATAGTCTATATCTAAGCTCTTCGATGAGATACAAAGTAATTTGGTTTGTTCAAGTCATATGCCAACCTCGAAGCATGTGAGTGTGTCTGTCTTTGTGCGTGTGTGCCTGCATATGTTCGTATATTTACGGAACCAACAGTGATAGCTCGAAGTAATTAGAACAGAAAAAGTAATGCCTATTCTCGGCCATCAAGGTTTGATGATCACCATCACCCTCTTTCTTTCTATATATTTTAACCATCACTCCACCGTCTATATAGAGTATATATACAGCTTTTAGGGATTAGCAGGTTAGCTTAAATATGGTTGTAAGGATGATACCCTGCTCTGATGATGTCTATCATACGACGGACGAATGCTTACTACGTTTTCTTTGGATTCGAAGGAGATTACTTCTGAAACAGCGTCAATAAGAATATTCCAATATAGCCAAGCGACAGCTGGTCAAGAGGAATCCGCCGTCGTCTCTTTGCAAGATCGATCTTCGAATCTCTTTCACTCGAAATGGAAGTAAGCTCAATAATTATGAAGCAAAAGAATCCTCGAAACCCAACTTTTATTAGCATATACTACTATTTTCTTTTCCGCTAAATATTTTAATTGTATTAATTATTTAATTGCTAGGATTTTTCTTTCGTGTCTCTAAAGAATTAAAAAAAATTATTTTCGCATTCTATGGTAACCTAATCTGATCAAAAAATTACCCCCATCAAAAATTAATTTTCACTGTTTACTCTATCTAATATAATATCTACAAATTGTGTGTCTGTGTACAGTGATATATGCTGAACAGACATCAAAGCAGAACATAGTTTTGCCCTTAAGGCTCAGATAATGGAGTTTCTCTATAAAATCTTTGACCCTTCTTATCTATATACTCGCTCGGTTTACTTGTAGCAACTAAACATTTTTCCATCTGATGAGCCAATTCATGTTATGAAGTCGTTGCTTCATCTATACATGTAGAATTTTTCTCGTATCTTG